CTATGATGTGCCATGGAGAGTTTCTTTTCTGGTCCTGTCTGTTTGGTGTTCTGTATGTTCCTTGTATTTGTATGGCCATGTCTTTCTCTAATTTTGGAAAATTTTCTTCTATGATCCTGTTGAAATCTGGTCCATGCCATTATCTTGGGTTTCTTCTCCTTCATGTATGCCTATGATTTGTAAGTTTGGTTTTTCTATGGTGTCACACAATTCCTACATATTCCATTCTTGTGCTCTCTTAAATTTTTCATAATCTTTGCTTCCAGTCTTGATACTCTGTTTTCCATTTGATTTATCCTATTGGTTAGGCTTTCCCCTGTCGTTTCTAATGACCTACTGAGTGTTTCACTTCCTTCTTCATTTCAGCCTGAGTATTCGTCAATATTTCTAGCTCTTCTGAATTCATTCAGAAGTTTATCCCTATCTTCCTTCAATTCTTTGATTTCATTTTTGTGTATTCTTTAAATTCACTGAATTCTCTTATCATGTTTTTGATTGTTCTTTTGAGTTCTATGTCCTGCATTATCTCTAGGGTGTTCTCATTTTACTCCTCTAGAGGAGTATTGGTATTTGGTGGAAATATGTTACTTTGTTTTTTTCATGTTATTATTTTTTCTCTGTGATTTTGACATGTCAATTTTTTTGTAGTTTCTGATTCTTGTGTGAGACTCAAGCCTTCACGTTTAGGTCTGCTTCTTTTTGTAAACTTTATGTGTTTTGGGGTTTACTTGTTGAGCATGAAAAGCTGGTTCCTCTAAGCTTCTGGTCTCTCTTTTGATTTTATATTGGTGTGGCCAGATTGCTTTTGTTTTCAGGAGTTCCCACAGAGGCCCAGGTGCTCTCAGGCGTTCTCCTAAGGTCTGGATCCCTCCAGGAAAGATTTTCGCCTCAGGAATTTGGGGATTAGACTGGCCTGTGAGCTGCGCCCAGGAAATATGCTGGTCTAGGGCAGATGGTGGTCGTGCCACCCAGAGATGCAAAGGAAGATGGGGTCGCGAAGTGGCTCCAAGGGCTCCTGGGGACTGCAGTGAGGAGCTGGGTTGGTCTGGATGCAAAGGATTAGCCCAGGCATCCAGGAAAGAGGTTGGCATGTCATACAGGCCCAGGTAAGTAGAGGGAGGTGATGCTGGTCAGGCCCAGAGTGCTTCCAGGAGAGAGGCATGCATGTCGGAGAGATGCCTGTGGTCATCAATTCTTACTTTCCTTATGGATAAGTGTCCTCTAAATGGAGTTATAGGGACAAAAGTGAGAAGTATTGTTTGGAATCCTGAAAGGTAATCCTATTCCCATTAAAGGTGCATACAAAGTATCAACATGTTGAAAATGAAATGTAGACCATGACTCCCATAGTACACATAACACCACCACCACCACCACCACCACCGCCACCACCACACATACACATATCGCCATACCCACTCCCATGGAAGCTGGGACAGGTCACAAATGATCTGCCCAGATAAGGGCTTTCAGCACCCTGGTGCCATGTACAATTTTTGCTCTTCATTTGGATGCTAAATGCTATGGGAGACGTGGACCTCCCAGCTGATGCCCCTCATCTGTGGGACCCTGATGTTCCCTATGGCATGGGAGCATCCTGAGGCCTGCAGCTCCGGAGTTACTCACTTTTCTCTTTCTGTGTGACTTGCATGTGTATCATGTGAAGAACACCACAGACATTCTGCGCAGATCCTCCTCGTGCAGCCACGTAGGATGAAGGGAACGCATCAGGACCAACTTATTCAAGTATAACTTTAAAATCGAGATCAGCATCAACTCAAAACTACCCTGAAGTAGGGATCTTGAATGATACAGAAAGTGAATGAGTTAAAGAAATATACCTACCTGTGAACAATAAGGTGCTAATTTTTTAAAAGTATATATAGTGTGTTTCAATTTTTGTATCTTTGTCTACTTGTACACGTACTTATTTCTTCTAAAGACCCATGGAATTTCTCTAATAACAAAAGATCTGTTATAAAAATCTCAACATAGAATTTGCATTTAATAATTATTTCACCACTAGTGTTTTGGGTCCATCTTGATTAAATACATTTTTATTGCCATAAAAGCTTCATTGTTGTAAAACTAAATGAATAAATCTCTAAAGAATATTCACTCATTTATTTAGCAAATTTGTATTGGATTTTATTTTTGTCTCAGGCACAATTTATAATATTTAAGCAAAGACTCATATGGTGGATTTTCTTTTCCTGATTTCACTAACTCTCTCTCTCTTTCTCTCTTGCTCTTGCTCTCGCTCTCACTCTCTGCTGCCCTATTTAGTCTGAAGTTTCCTGGATCCCCAACAAACACTACTCTGGGATTTATGGCCTGATGAAGCTGGTCCTGACCAAGACCCTTCCTGCCAACTTGGAGAGAGTCATTGTCCTGGATACCGACATTACCTTTGCAACTGACATTGCCGAGCTGTGGGCTGTGTTCCATAAGTTCAAAGGTGAGTGCAGCCCACCGTTTTTCCTCTTATCTTTGTAGATATGAACATGCCAACAATGGTGAGTTTTTAATATACTTTACTTATTATCTGTTGAGAGAGAGAGAGAGAGAGAGAGAGAGAGAGAGAGAGAGAGA